GAAACCTAGCTAGATCAAATCTATGAAAAATTAGGAGCAAAATGGGTCCAATATATAAAATTTTGCCTAGGCCCAATTCTGGCCCAATTGCTAGTTACACCCTCAAGCATTGCTAAATGTCACCCCCATTCTACTACTGAAAAAATAGAAAATGAGTGTATCAACAAATGAGGTTAAATGGAGTCAAAGTCTCCAAGTAACCCACCCTATAATCAATATACAGTGACTAATAAAAATGAAATAAAGTTCCTCACAAATACAAAGGCAAAAATAAACCTATACAAGAGAACTATGTACAAGTTATACACAAGTAGAACTAAGCCTTCTTTTCATGATAGAGTACTCCAAGTGAAAAGAACCTTGGGCTTAGAGAGCCCACTGGTCTTCAAGATGTCCAACTCTTCTTGTATGCTCCTGGTCATATCTCTAGGGATTGGGCCCTTGGCTCATGGTCCATCATACATGGAAATGTATAAATGTGAATAAATTTTTCACACAACACAAAGCCTCAAGCTCCCACAACATACATTGTCTCAACACTACAGACCATACACTCATCCAACATCATCATCATATACAAATGCATAAACTCACAAAATACTCAATGCATTGTGTGTTGTCACGCACAAACTACTCAAAAATTTCTTACAACAAGCGATTTATTTGAAGCAATCGTATTGAACAATAGCAACCTTAATCACTTGGCTATTGTCAACATCAACTCAAAAGATCTTGTATCATTGTTAGATATAGTACAACTTAGATATAAACCTACCACAACATTACTCTACAAATTCGTTTTCTCTAGCTTATTTTATTGGATATTTTATATTATAAAACACAGAGGATAGAGTAATATATATCAAATGGAAATAATTTATAGTAATGAAAAAGAAAAAAGTGTAAGAATTATAAAAATAAATGTAAAAAAAATGAATAAAGAATAAGATATTAAAGACATGGGAAGAGCTTAGATAAATAAAGAAAATAAAAAAAAATGTGTGAAGAGAGTAATGATGGTAAGTTAAACCATAAATAATGTATGAAATGAGAAAACATTAAAATTTTCTAAAAATAAATTAAATATGATTTAAAAATATGCATACAAAAAGTAACATGGAAAAATGATAAAAATAAAAGAATAATTTAAAATTTAAAATTTAAATAAAAGATAAATAATTTTTCAATAAAAATCCCATAAAATAAAGGACAAACATATAAATGCATGATATGCACACTTAGGTGGACAATAGAAAAAATAGTGAATTTTATATTAGTCTATTAGAACGACTTTGTATGAGTAAATATTTTATGCCTTAAAATGTTCCTTATTAGTATTTTAGGATATAACGCACATTCTAAATATTTATTATATATAATTAAAATTTATAATAATAATTTATATATATATATATATATATATATATATATTATATTTATATATT